ACAGCGAGAGAGGGAACACAAGCAGGGGGAGTGGGAGAGGGAGAAGCTGGCTTCCCGCCGAGCAGGGAACCCAATGATGCGGGGCTCGATGCCAGGACCCTGGGATCATGACCTGAGCTGAAGGCAGACACTTAATGACTGAGCCACCCAGGCGCCCCATGAGTAATTCTAATCACGGAGAAACCAGCCAAGTTTTCCAACATCTGATTTTAAGTTTACAGACAGAAATGTGCCTAAGAAGTACTTAATTTGAATGAAGAAGAAAAGATAAAAATCTTGTTTGTGTGCTTCATTCAATCCCATTTAATATACATGATGAGGAGGAGGCAGACAAGGCAAAGCTCAAATCCTGACCACACCACTTCATAGCCATGACCATGTGTGAGTAATTTAACAAAGAAACTTAACACCAGTTTCCTCATCAGTAAAGAGGAATAATAATAATATCTTCCTAATAGGGCTGTTGTAGGGTTAAATGAGTTTGTTCACATAAAGCACTTAGAACAGTATCTGGCATCTATTCGGAGCACAATAAATGGTTACCATTATTAGTGTTATTATCAATAGGCATTAACTCATTAAAAGAAAGGCCTTTATGTACTCCATAATTTTTCCCTTTTAATCAGTCTGTTCAAAATATATCTTTTTTTTCCCTGCCACCACCACCTCCTCCCCCTGACTCTCAAAATATATCTTGATACAGGATTTTTAAGCGCATCTTTCTCTGTAATGTGCAGTTCTGTTTAACCCCCACAGTTTTTACCCCATAACTGTATGGGTTGTGAGAAGCCCCAGCACTCTCATCTGATGTGACACTTCACGGTACTGATCAACCTTGCCCAAGGTTACCATGACTCTGACGTGGCACTTCTTACCTCTGTTTCTGTCATTTCTGCCACAATCTCGTCTTCTTTAAAAACTCGGATATCAAAATCCTCTGACCCAACAAGAAGCTGAAAGGGAAAAGAATCATGCACAGTTAGTTCAACAAGTGAACCCAGCAGAATGCCCAGAGATAAAACAAAAAACTGCATGACACTTTATACACTGCTACTGCCACCCAAGACTTTCAATCTCCCAAGAATCTGGTACTCGGGAAGGTTCCTCCCATTGGGAAAGTCCCCAGATTCAGTTAGGGAAGAAAAAGTGGCCACTACAAGGTTTTATCCTTGCATGCGGGCTGCACATCGTGCCAGAATATGTCCTTCCACCAAGCAGCTGAAAACGCTCCCTGGCTCAGTGCCCTTCTCTGCCTGCAGATGGAAGCCAGATACCAGTAGCCATGGACAAGAGACAGGTAAGTCAGCACCTGACACAGCACTTGGTGGGCTGCTCAAGAAGCTGATTCCTAGGGGCGCCTCGGTGGCTCAGTCATTAAGCGTCTGCCTTGGGCTCAGGTCATGATCCCAGGGTCCTGGAATCAAGCCCCACATCGGGCTCCCTGCTCCATGGGAAGCCTGCTTCTCCCTCTCCCACTCCCCCTGCTTGTGTTCCCTCTCTCGCTGTGTCTCTGTCAAATAAATAAATAAAATCTTTTAAAAAAGAAGCTGATTCCTAGAGAAGCCATCACAATAATTTCAAAGGCTAAGAGCCCATCTCTAAAACTTTTCGATTCCTGGGGCGTCTAGGTGGTTCAGTCAGTTAACCGGCTGCCTTTGCCTCAGGTCATGATCCCAGGGTCCTGGGACGGAGTCCCACATCAGGATCCCTGCTCAGCAGAGAGCCTGCTTCTCCCTCTCCCTCTGCCTGCCTCTCTGCCTACTTGTGCTTCTATCTCTCTATCAAGTAAATAAGTAAATAAATCTTTTAAAAAAATTATTAAAAAAATAAAACTTTTCGGGCGCCTGGGTGGCTCAGTTGGTTAAGCGACTGCCTTCGGCTCAGG